GTCTACATCGAAACTCCCAAGTCTCTTAAGAAAAAAAAACTCCCAAGACTGCACCTTTGTTAAACATTTTAAATTGTAAATTATTAACTTTCTCAACCTAAACAACTAATATCATTTTTTTAATCTAGTTTTAGTGGGTTTTGAATTTGATGTATACGTGCGATCCTTTTCACGTTTCTTTTTTAGCAAAGTAGTTTGCATGGAATCTGTGTCCATCCATTTGCGTAATTTATTTTATTTTTAAACTTTGTGCACAGAATGGAAAAATTAGTAAGCCTTACTTTCTTAAACACCATTAAAACTAAAGTACGTGGACTATAAAATATCAAATCGATGCATTCTCGAATCCATATATAAAATGAAATTTATCAAACGCAAAATTAAAATTTTGGATATTATTCCAACAACCGACAATTTACCTTATAGTTAGAAACAAAAATGATTTTAGTAATTGAATAATCGGTAAAATGGAGGCAACAATGAACAAAATTGATTTTCATGACATATAATTGCATAAAAAAATTCTATCTGTTTAGAAAAATAGGGTCTTTCATTAATTTAAACAACTTCAAAGTTTATTTCCAAGTTTTAATATATAAACGTAAAAGCCATAAATAAAGCTTAATTAGGTTCGTGCCATGTCCAATTCCCACCCTTTTAAATCGATCTAATCCATTTGCCCGGCCTAATTAATCAACTTGGCCTTATATGAATCATGACGCAATCCTTTATTTTTGGTATGTTTCAAATTAGGTCAGACTATATAATATACAAATATGCAAGAGAGGATGCAATGCAACAATGTGGAAATTTAGAGAACTTAAATGACATCACGAAAAGTAGAATTGAGTGTTTTCTTGGTGGCTTTAAGAAGAGCAAAAAGGATTGGTGATTGATATGAGCATCGGTATCTATGAACTTTTGAGGGTATCATTAAATATAAAATTATTAAAAACACATTTTTTCTTCCTTTTACTTAATTTTATACCTTCTCTTTCATCCTTTTACTCAACTTTTATTAATTTTATACTCTCTTTAAATATAAAATTATTAAAAACACACTCTTTCTCTCTTCAAAAGTATCAACTATTTGATACTTTTGATACTCTCTCTCCAAAAATACCCACTATCTCTTCTCTTTACTCAAATTTATTAATATTATATTTTAATACACCCCATTATTTCAACTAAAAACACTCTTTTTCTTCCTTTTATTCAAATTTTAATAATTTTATATTTAATGATACCCACCAAAATTCACCAATACGGATGCTCAAGTGTTTGTTTACGCCCATCTTCTTTCCCATCCATACTCGTCGATCACTTCTCGTTGAAAAGACCAATTTGCCCTTCTAAACATTTTTCCTTCCAAATTAAACAATGAAATAAATATGTAATTTTAATAGGGCTTCTTTTAGTAATGGTGCATGCCTTTTGATTCTTTATATTGTCACTCTCTTTGACCGGTTAATTAAATTGTTTAAATCATATCATAGGAAATATGATTTACCAAAAGTAGCGATATCATTTATTTTCTTAATTGTAACATTCGCACACAAATCCGATTGTACAACCAGTAAAGCGAATCAAATGTGGATTGTATGATTATATCAACCAAGTTCTGCTGGTAACTTGGTTCAGTGGCTCGGTGTCTGTGTGGCAAAGGATTCTGTTGTGGGATTTGGCCAATGTTCGAATCCCAACAATTACGGCGCTGATGAATTAATTTTTTTCTGACCATTATATACGCTTTAGATAACAAGAACACTCGGAGACTAGTATGAGTTTCGATCCAAAATCTACTCTGGTTATAAGAAAAATTTATATGAAGAAATGATTTTTGGGAAAATTGCAAAAAATGCCATTATTATGTGCACATTTGCAAAAATACCACTTAGGGGCATTTATTTGCAAAAATACCACTAATTAATGATTTTTAAACCCTATTTTTTAAAATTCTAAACACTAAAAAAATATTTTGACTCTTTAAACCCCCTTAAACCATCGTAACTAAACCCTAATAGAACATAATTAGCCCAAACATAAATAATAATAAAATTTTTTTTTTGAAAAAGTGACATTTTTGTAAAAATTTCAAAAATGTGGCATTTTTGTAAATAACATTTTTTGAAATTTCTCATGATTTTTTGATATCTATATATTTACTTGGCTTATATCACATTTGTTTAAATTATTTAAAATTGAAACCATTTCACATCACACTGATAGATATTTCATTCATTTAAATTTGGTATTTTAATTTTCGGTTAGCCCGGGGCCCGTGTCGTGGTGCAACATGGCGACACAACCAAATCGTAGCAACTCTATATTGACCGACTCTTGTCCTAAGTTAATTGTTTTGTATATTAATTTAAAACGTGTGCATGGTTTAATGACGTTCATCTTCGTTTAATACATATCATATATTATAATGATTAGGAAGAAAAATAAATTGAAACCAACGGTGACTCCCCACAAGAAGTCCGGAGATTATAATTCTTGGACACGAATATAAAAAGTGTTTTTTTTAATAAAGGAAACAAAAAAGCATTCATCACAACGCATACACTTCACACTTGTGCTTCTCCTTTTTTGTTGCCTTTTAAAAATAAAAATAAATAATCTATAGTTTTGTGAAATTACTTTGGATAATGCACTGCAAAATTCGTAGGACCCAATCAGATTTCAAGAATTTGAGTTGCGACTATGTCCACGTGAACTAATAACATTTGCTAGAATACTTGATATCATTTGCATAAAAATGCGAACCAATTTCAGCCTGCCTTTTCTTTCAACCCTTGTACTTTTGCAGATACTTTTTTCCTCGTAATTATTGCAATATGATTTTGGATCGTATATTCTACTCATATTCGTATTTGTTAAATTGATTGGTAAATCTCAACATTTTTGAAATATTGATTGACAACATTATTATTTATGATACTCATCTTAATTATCATTTTCTTCTGTTTGTATTTGTGTGTTTGTTTCCGTTTTTGAATTTTGAGCGAAAATACTAAATCAAGATCACAAAGGCCCGTGTCCTC